ATATATATATATATATATATATTATATATAGTCACACGCACACACATATATATACTAATAATAGTATATATATATATATATATATATATATATGAATATATATATATATATGTGGGTGTGTGTGTGTTAGTCGATGGGTGTGCATTTTGGGTGCATCCATATATGAACCAATGAGTATGTGCGTATAGTCACGTACATTCAGTTATGTTGATATAATATCATGGTCACTGGACGTTACAGTCGTGTTACGTCTTGTATTGGCTGTGTTTTCTCAATCCGTCGGATGCGCATATGCCCTTCACAGTGTTTTCAAATGCGTGATTCACAAGCGATTCGATTAATGTCCACTTCTGTAGCCGTCTAACCGCATACGAGCCAAGGGATGGGTGTTTGTATCTCATCCGCGTCTTGTCCTCTCGATTGTATTCCAGATTCTGCGGTCCATCCTGTTCATCTACGCTATGCAGTTCTATCAACTGCTGGTCACTCTGCCGTGGAGTCTGTACTTCACATTTGTTGTGGAAGAGCGGCACGCAATGAACAAGTGCGTCTGTGCGTGATGTGGCAGAGCACACGTGCATGTGTTACAACTATGTACACCTGTGTGTTACTATTGTGTGTATTGCGATTGGCTAGTGCGTCTGTGTGTGATGTGGCAGTGCACACGTGCGTGTGTTACAACTATGTGCACCTGTGTGTTACTATTGTGTGTATTGCGATTGGCTAGTGCGTCTGTGTGTGATGTGGCAGTGCGTACGTGCGTGTGATACAACTATGTACACCTGTGTGTTACTATTGTGTGTATTGCGATTGGCTAGTGCGTCTGAGTGTAATGCGGCAGTGTACACGTGCGTGTGTTACAACTATGTACACCTGTGTGTTACTATTGTGTGTACTGCTGATTTGTGCATTATGGATTGTATATCACTCATTTGTGTATAGTCGATTTCTGTATTATTAGTTATTTTGCGTATTACTAGTTTGTGTATAGTTGATTTCTGTACTATTAGTTATTTTGCGTTTTACTAGTTTGTGTAGTTAATATCTGTATTATTAGTTATTCTGCGTATCACTAGTTTATGTTATACTAATTTATGTATTGCTATTTTTTGTATTACTAGTTTATGTATTCCTAATTTCTGTATTATTAGTTATTTTGCGTTTTACTAGTTTATGTTATACTAAATCATGTATTGCTATTTTTGCGTATTATTAGTTTGCGTACAACTAATTTATATAGTGCTATTTTTCGTATACTAGTTTATGTATTACTAATTTATGTAGTGCTATTTTGCGTATTTCTCATTTATGATACACTAGTTCATGTACTGCTAGTTTTGCGTATTACTAGTTTGTGTACAACTAATCTAAGTATTGCTATTTTACGTATTATAGTGTGCGTACAACTAATTTATGTATTGCTATTTGCGTATTACTAGTTTGCGTATTACTAATTTACGTACTACCAATCATCTCCCTGTCCTCTCCATGTCCGCAGCCAAACCCTTCGGTTCTACATCGTAGATCAGCTCAAGTCACTGATACTTACGCTCGTCATTGTGGTATGAGTCATTGCCATACAACTGTGTGCTGTGTGTTGTGAAGGATCACTTGTACCTAACATAACATAAGAGGTGTGTCATGGAATGGCATAGGGGTTTAGGGTCTAGAGTTTAGATTGTCTTCCTGTCGTTGGCGTGTGGTAGTATTCATGTACTCGTTAAGTCCGTGACAGTGTGAGTGCTCTGCTGCGCTGCAATCCATCGCATTTGTGCTGTTGCTGTTGCTGTGTGTCTCATGGGCTGTGCTCCACACTCGCATAGAATCCAAACGGTTTACTGACACCCCTCTGGCCCATGCATGGTGGTTGCTGTGATGTTACTCTTACTATCCCCATGTATAATACCTTGTGCATGGTTAGCCTGGGCTCTACTGACACCCCTGTGGCCCATGCATGGTGGTTGCTGTGATGTAACTCTAGACTATCCCCATGCATAGTACCTTGTGCATGGTTAGCCTGTGCTCTACTGACACCCATATGGCCCATGCATGGTGGTTGCTGTGATGTAATTCTTACTATCCCCATGTATAGTACCTTGTGCATGGATAGCCTGTACTCTACTGACACCCCTGTGGCCCATGCATGGTGGTTGTTGTGATGTAACTCTTACTATCCCCATGTATAGTACCTTGTGCATGGTTAGCCTGTGCTCTACTGACACCCCTACGGGCCATGCATGGTGGTTGTTGTGATGTAACTCTTACTATCCCCATGTATAGTACCTTGTGCATGGTTAGCCTGTGCTCTACTGACACCCCTATGGCCCGCCCATGCATGGTGGTTGCTGTGCATATATCTCTCACCATCCCCATGTATATTACCTTGTGCATGCTTAGCCTGTGCTGCTGGTGACACCCCTGTGGCCCATGCATGGTGGTTGTTGTGATGTAACTCTTACTATCCCCATGTATAGTACCTTGTGCATGGTTAGCCTGTGCTCTACTGACACCCCTACGGGCCATGCATGGTGGTTGTTGTGATGTAACTCTTACTATCCCCATGTATAGTACCTTGTGCATGGTTAGCCTGTGCTCTACTGACACCCCTATGGCCCGCCCATGCATGGTGGTTGCTGTGCATATATCTCTCACCATCCCCATGTATATTACCTTGTGCATGCTTAGCCTGTGCTGCTGGTGCCTATCCTGTACCTGATCATGTGGAGTGGACCATACTTCTACGTGTACGTCTGGGCGTTTGTCTTCTGCTTCTCCATTGCGTCCATCACTGTGTACACCGATTACATCGCTCCCATGTTCGACAGGTATGTGCGAGTGTATTTCCAATATGTTTTTATTTATTTAAGGGTTCTAAGGATTTAGGGTTTATGCATTGTTGTAGCTATATACCTCCATACATCTAGAAGAAAAGTTTACGTTGGAGTACAAATGTAATAAATACGTGAAATATTTTAAACCCTAAACCCTACATATACATCCCATATACACCCAACCCAACCCAGATAAAAACAATATGCTGTATTAGTGTGTGCATTCATCTCCCTTTTGCTAGTGTATGTGTAATACGTAGTTCTGTTTAAGATACACTCGCATGATGGTTTATGATGGGAGTGACACACATACACTGCACCTGTGATGCAGGTGCGTGCATAAATGATTGTATGTGTAAAATGCTCTACTGTTTAACGTAAATGGATATATGTGTAAAACTTTCTTTTGTTTAACGTAATTAATTGTATGTATTTGCGTGCAATGCGATCTGTGGCTTAGATTTTAACATCTGAATTGCGTTTGAATTAGGGTTTAGGGTGTTGGGTATCTTTATCTGTTTGTACGCTATTGCTTTGTACGATGCCTGATGTCTGGTAGGGTTTTAGGGTTTTTAATCGAATCGGGTTTTAAGGTTTAAGGTTTAGGGTCTGGGGATTGATGTAGGTAGGGCAGCAACTCAAACCAGTATTAAGAAGAAAACACCACAGGGGCCAGGATTTGTTGAGGGATTTTGAGCGTAGGGTTTCAATATAGTCCCCTGTTCCTATCGATGGCATACGCAACGGTACACGCTACATAGCCGTACCTACCCAACGCCCACCAGACCAAAACCCTAAACCCAACCCACACAAGTTCTGCTTGAACTTTCACACTCTCACTCGCACCCCTCCTCCCCCCCCCTGTCCCTCCAACCCACACAAGCCCTGTTTGTACTTTCACACACTCACTTACACACACACCCCTGTCCCCTGTGCGCAGATTCGAGCCACTTCCGGACAGTCCGCTGCGCACCAAAATCTCAGCACTGGCGGAATCTGTGGCATTCCCCGCAAGTCAGTTGCTGGTGGTCTACGCGTCCAATCGATCGTCACACAGGTGGGCAAGCCCTAAACCATAAAGCATAAACTATAAGCCACAAACCATGAACCATAACACTAGAACACTGGTATATGGTGATTGTTTACTATGCACTGATAGCAACCAGTATCAACTATTTGGTAATATTACTGGTAGTAGCCTGTAGTGTTTATTTGTTTTTTGACTGGTAATAGCCTGTAGTGTTTATTTGTTTTTTGACTGGTAATAGCCTGTAGTGTTTATTTGTTTTTTGACTGGTAGTAGCCCGTAGTATTTATTTATTTTTGACTGGTAGTGAACAATGAGTCTTGTAGCTCATCCCCACTTGAATCATAGTGTGATACGCATACATACATAAGTACCTACATACATACATACATACATACATACATACATACATACATATATACGTCCATACATGCATGCATGCATGCATGCCTGCATACATACATACATACATACATACATACATACATACAGACATACATATATACAGACATACACGATGAGCCATACCTCACCACACTTGAGTCGCTTGTTCTGTGCAGCAACGCCTACTTTATCGGCTTCTTCAAGAATAAGAAGATTGTTTTGTTCGACACCTTGTTCAAGAAACACGCCAAAAAGAGCGACGCTGATGCCAACGTCTCTTCTAAGCAAAGCGAGACAGAGGAGAGGCCCAAAGGTAACTCATTAGATGACACATAAGTCTTAGATGTTAGGGTTTAGGGTATCTGAGTGATGTAGGTATTAGACGTGGTAATTAAGTGATATGTGTCGTGATTGACTAAACCTTAAAACCCTAAACCTTAGAAGATGCGAAGGAGGAGGAGCCGCTGTTCGATGCAGACGGCAATGTGACCGGAACACGCAACTGCAGTGATGAAGAGGTGGTCGCCATTCTAGGCCATGAATTGGGCCATTGGAAACTCAACCACACACTGAAGATGTTCGCCCTGAATCAGGTGAGTGTTTAGGGTTGGGGTTAGGGTTAGGGTATTAGCGTTAGGGTTTTAGGGTTTTATGCGGACTAAGGATTAGTAGTGAGTGGTGTTATGTTTATTTTTTAGGGTTGTAGAGTTTGGGGAGGGGGGTCCTTGCTTATTTGCACAGAGATTTGGCGTTTGAACTATCCATTTTATTATGTCGGCCATTATTGGTTTTGTATATAACGTTTAGTAGGTAATAGAGTTCAGTTTAATTTGTTGTAGTTTTGTATGTTGTTTTGTTTAGTATGTAGTAAAATTCAGTTTAATCTGATATAGTATTATATATCGTACAGTTTAATATATGATATAGTTCTATTTTAAAGTATTGTATATTGCATAGTTTAGTATATAAAATAGTTCAGTTTAATTTACTATAGTTTAGAATATAATATAGTTGAGCATATAATACAGTTCAGTTTAATTTATTATAGTTTAGTATATAATATATTTTAGTATAATATATTATAGTTTAGTTTGTAATATAGACCACTTAATTTTATCATAGTTTAGTCTAATTAATTTAAGTTTAGTAGATAATATAGTTTAGTATATAATATAATTTAGTCTAATTAATTATAGTTTAGTATATAATATAGTTCTGTTCAGTTTATTGTAGTTTAGTTAAGTAAATATAATTTAGTCAATTTAATTATAGTTTAGTTTATAATATAGTTTAGTTTAGTATATTATAGTGTAGTTTACTATAATCTAGTTTAGTTTAGAGGTTCTTCAGGGTATGCCTCTCCACTGTCTATTATTTGATCACTTTTATCTGTTATCTGCAGGTGGTGCTATTGTTATATATTTGATCACTGATGTCATCTGTTATCTCTCGTCTGTTATCTGCAGGTGGTGTTGTTTACCATGTTCATGCTGTTTGGCCACCTAATGCACAACGCGAGTCTTTACGCGTCCTTCGGATTTGACAGCACTCCTACGCTCATCGGTAGGTCATCAATGGCACATGTAGTACTAAAACCCTAAACCCGAAAACATATATTACCACTGCAACGGTCATGCAACCGATGACAATGGCACAGGTTTAGGGTAATAGAGTTTAGGACCCCTTTGCAAACAAGCACACCCATGCACGAAAGAACGGTCATAGACAGTGAGCACAGATGGCACTCGCCCGTGTTAACGTTTTAGGCTTCAGGGTTGTTTTCACTATAGCGGTAGTACGACACCCGTGTGTTTGCCTTCTGTGCTCTTGTCGTGTGGAGCGTTTCTGTGGGGGTCATGTACATAGGTCTGTCGCTACGCATTGGTTCCTCGATTGACATCACCAGCACTCTATCTCTCTATTGGTGCTGTATTCGGTTCTATGATTATCTGGTGGCAGGTGTTTGTACGTTTGTATGAACTCGCCCTTTCCCATTGCATTGTGCATTTGGCATAGTACTGATGACTCGCATCCATCCTAGCGTTCGTCTACGATTGATTCTATGTGCCTATGTGTGTGTTGCTGCCATGTCACTATCCAATCGCCATTTCAAATGCACACAGATGGTCTAGCGCCCTACATAAACACGCACACATTGCTTTCTATCCCATTAAAGCTCCTCATGTGCTCCACCTGCGTGTGCTTCTCTGTTACAATACGAAGAAACGGCCCATCTCTACACATCATGCAATGACTGCGTTGCTCACATCCCTCATTTGTTCTAGGGTTTAGGGTTTATAGGGTGTATCATTTCCTTTTTGTCCGTTGCTTGCAGGGTTGATTCTGATTATGCAGTTTGTGTTTGGCCCCATCAACATTGCTGTGGGGTTCCTCTTCACCCTCCTGACTCGCATGCGCGAGTACGAGGCCGACGAGTTTGCGGTGGTATGAGAAGTGGTTGTGTGTGTGGTTGTCCGGAGGAAAGAGAGTTTAGGGTGTGTGCGTGCATGTTTTATGTAATGGGGTGTGTGTGTGCATGTTCTGAGTTGTGGGGTGTGTGTGCGTGTTCTGTGTTGTGGGGGGTGTGTGTGTATGCATGTTCTGTGTTATGGGTGTGTGTGTGTGTGCATGTTCTGTGTTGTGGGGGGTGTGTGTGTGTGCATGTTCTGTGTTATGGGGTGTGTGTGAGTGTGTGTGCATGTTCTGTGTTGTGGGGTGTGTGAGTGTGTGCATGTTCTGTGTTGTGGGTGTGTGTGTGTGTGCATGTTCTGTGTTGTGGGGTGTGTGTGTGTGTGCATGTTCTGTGTTATGGTGTGTGTGTCATTCGTATCGTATTGGGAGTGTGTATGTTAGTGTTGTCTGTGCAGTTCATACTGAGTGTTCTGCGAGACGCATGTGCTGCTGTCGTGTGATCAGCTATGGATCGGTTGTATCACCTCACTGTAGGAGGGGGAGGGAGGTGTATTGGATGTTGCGAGTGAGTGTCCTATTTTTAGAGCGTGCACTGCTATTGAGCGGGTTGGTTGGTGATAGAGTAGTGTTCTATTTTTAGAGCGTGCACTGCTGTGTAGTGGGTTGGTTTGGTACGCTGTTCTTGAAGTGTATTGGTTGTGCTAGTCTATTTGAGTTTGCCACTGCTTGCCTTTGTTGGTAGATCAAGGTTTAGAGTTGCGCACCCGGTGCACTCTTTGGCAAAACCTTTATAGAAATCAGAGGTTGATTTGAGCCGTCTCTATGTCCAGAGTACACTGTCAACTTCAGAGATACAGTAAACATCAAGGGCAGACAGGCGCATGACTCCTAGCGCAACTACCTTGTAAGCACTGATCCTTAATCCTTAAACCCTAAACCCCTAAGCTATTAATCCCGAGCTCATCAGTCGGCTGGCTGCGGTTGATTAGGTTTTTGAACTCTCATTGATTTGAATATGGGGACAGGGTTGTATTAACACGATGTGCGCCTTTTCTTTCTTCGCTGCGGCTGTGCCCGTCAGAGCTTAGGCCACGGGACTAATCTCAGGACAGCCCTAATCAAGTTACAAGTGGACAACCTCGGGAACATGACCCCAGACATCCTCTATTCCACGTACCACTACAGCGTAAGTGTTGCGTGAGCTACGCAGGTGTATAATTGTTGGATATCCGCGTATATGTTTTAGGCTTTTATGTGTATCGGAGATCTGTCTTCTTCTGTGTATCTACATACAAGAGCATATTCTATACATCAACAATATGTATTTGGAATTCACTTTAGGACCCCGTGTTTTCTTAGGACCATGCTTGTTGAGAATGTGCTGTGTCATGTGTAATTCCCCGTTGTTGATTCATGTGTACCATTCACATGTCAACTCGTACGTATTCTCGGGTTTGCAATCTGTGTCTCGAGGTAGTCAGAACACTAGATGTCCTGGCAACCTCCTCTTTCCATGTTTTAATGTAGGTGCATAAAAATTGCAAGAAACGAGTGGTCCATATCCTTTTAATCGCCATCCCTTGTCCACTCAGCACCCGCCGCTTGTGGAGCGTTTGGCAGCAATCGATGTGGCTATGGCTGGCCAGAAAAAGACCGAGTAGGTGCAATACACTCTTCGTACAGAAACTGGTTGAAGTACACCATCGAGAATGGAACACCGAGTAACCGACAGAAACTATAAGTCTGTACATAGGTTGGTGGTAAACACCGATGGATAATAAATTCCAACCAAATTCACATATAAAGTATCCTTCAAACTAATACGCTGCTATATATCGTCACCAATAACACATCGATGGCAAAATAAGCTTATGGCAGTATAAGTTCCTCTAAACTTTGACATTCGATTATATATATATATATTTATATTTGTATATTTATTTATATATATGTATATATACAATTATATATATATATATGTATATAGATATA